TAAATCCTCTCAAAAAGCATCAAGTCCGAGTTATCAGCTGCTGATGTTGGAGAATAGCAATTGATGAGTAATGGTTTTCTGATGCAGAGGACGGAGTCGAAGGATAGCAAGGTGATAGAATTTCGTGCGAATAGATAACAAACGGTGTGACAAATCCAACGCCTCCAAAGTTCCGTGATGGAAGTTCTCACCAAGAATGATGAGTGTGCCATCACTCAGCCGTCCTACGTCCGTTCTTTGACTTTGTTACCTGCAAGGCGATTACGTGGTAGTTGATGCCCTGCAACTTCGAGAAGGGCGTGAAGATTGGCGTTGGTGGAGACTGCCTCAGCTGTAGGTGCAGAGCATGAGACAATCTTCTTGGCGATTGGCGTGTCCATTTGGTCGAGAATCCATGGCGTTCTGTGCAATTTGACACTGGTCTTAACTTCCGACGCTGGAGATATGATCCAGTATGCAGGGCTTCTTATCCTATTACATGCTGTAAAAGCAAAATAAATCCTAAAACTTATCACCTTGCCAGGGCCTTTCATCACGGGCAATACTGACCTATGTGGATCAGGAAGCCACCGACTCATTTAGCCAGACGGTGTGGCTTTTGGCATAGCCTAATCTTAGCGCATCCGGGGAGTCGAAAATGTATGTCGAACTCCTTCTTAGCTTGGGAAACCCTGCTGGGGAATAAACTTCCGCTGTACTTCGTCGCGCCACGATGAAGAAGGAGGTAGACCATCGCGGAGGTATTCGAGCATTGTTACTAGCATATGGTAGAGCGTCCTGAAGTTTCCGACAAAAGGGCAGTCAAGAATCGCGAAAAAGTCTAAAATTTTGAGTAATAAACCCTTTCTGCTTTGATAGCCATTTTTACGAAAAAGCTTTTCCAAGAGCTTGCAAGAAATCGCCACCGAAGTTGAGAACTGCATACTTTATGTAAACCATCCATACATGTGCCAGCTGATTTTGCGGTGAATCGTTTCCGAAGGAGCCAGCCGATTTCTACGACATGAAGGTGCTTCATTCTGGTGAGATTGAATAAACTGCGTTTCCTCCATGCGGCTTCCACCGTGACTGCGAAGTCACGCACTACTCCAAAATTGCC